AGATTCCAATATATACTATCTTGAATATTAATAAAAGATATCTAAAAAAAGTTCAAGAAAGATACTTGGATCAAGCAATAATATGAAGAGCACAACAAAGAACCTAAACAAAAAAAATCTTATGGCAATGTTAATATCAATACTATCTTTGTCAACTTATTATACCACAATCCTTGAGAAACAACCTAAAAAGTGGTAATTTGTGCCACCTAATTATAATAGAAAATTCTAAGATAAATACTACATGAGTTGATAATACTTGATAGAAAATAAAACACAATGTTCTAGCTTTGCAAAGACCTTACCTAGACTACAATCCAAGAATATTACAACCTCAACATAATATTACAAATACAAGTTGATCAATTGAATCAATATGTAGTCAAGTTGCACAATGTCCTTTAGGTATCCACAAGTATTTAAGACATAGATGATGCATAGTGCAAAGTAGAAAGCATGCAATTTCAACTTTAAAAAAATAATTGTGTTATACTCTAATAAATAGGTGGCACAAATTGCCACTTTTTATACTAAATATGTAAGTGAATTAATTTGGTGATTCACATAACTTGTCTTCTATAGTAGTGCAATCATATCTAAGAAAAAAATAAACTAAGAGTAGTGGATATGCAACTTAGGATATAATTTCTTGAGATGGATTTCTAAAATAAATATATTTTTTTTAAGGTATCCAAGATTAGAAGAAGATCTAAGAATGGAAATTTTATTGTTGTTGATTTTTTAATTAAATAAAAAGCTAAAAAATGATGGTTGATTCAAACCTATTCAAGAGAAAAATTTAAAAAATACTTTTTTTTCGTAGTCCTCATAAAATATATATATATATATATATATATATATATATATAATGTCAAAGGAATAGGAAAAAAAAAAAAAAAAAAAAAAAAGAAAATGATCCCTCTCTCTCATCTTTTTTGTAGTGCGGTAGCTCCGCATTTCCTACAAGCTGCGGCTAGAGCAAGTTTTCTGCACTTTTATTTTTTGGTTTGATTTATGGTGTCGTCAACGGAGATGGAGCATGGATTCTTCCATTCTCTGGTTGTGGCTGGTTAGTTATTCCTTCCGTGCAGAGGTGCTACTAGATGGGCTTCAGCGGTTGGTCGAATTCAGCGACAGCCGGGTTACTGATTCCCTCTGGCGGTTTGCAGTGGTGCTATGATCTGGTCATTAGAGCGTTCGATTGGAGCTGTTGGTGGTGACCCTCTGTTCATGTAGGCGTGTTCCCTTCGTTGTTCTTTATGTTTCGTGGAAGCCGGCATGGGAGTTGCTAGCTCTTGGGTGCTGGCATCGACAATCTCTTTTTTGTTCCTTTTTTTTTTTAGTTCTGATCTTTTTAAGCATTGTGGCATGCGGCAGTTGTTACTGCGATTGTCGTCAAGCCTTTTGAGTTGGTGTTTGTGCGGTCTTTGTGACTATTGCCGCCAACTAAAACAAGAAAACCTTATATGGAAAATCACAATACTCTATGATTGTAGTAGAATATGAAGATTCCAGTGAAAAAAAACTCTAGCGAATGAGTACACCAACAGTGCTGCTTTAGTGATAGTAGGATTTAAGGGAGAGTTACAATGGCATCAATAAAGAGAGGAAAATTCAAGTCCAGGCAAGCCAGGCGCCAGCAAAACAAACAAGCCAGGCGCCAGCAAAACAAACAAGCCAGGCGACAGTTGGATAATCTTGTATCAGAGTCTGCACCGACTTGAAATTTCTTTGTTGCATGCTTCAGGGACTCGCAATTTCCGCCTTTTGCGCTGCGAGGTTGAATGTGGAGCAAGGCGACAGCGTTGGATTTTTAAAATATATGTATATAAATAAGAAATAAGAAATAAAATAGAATAATAGTAGTAATAAAATTTTAAGTGCATGGAATTTTTTGAGTGACTTATTATTATAAGTGTGAATTAGTAGTAGAGATTTTGTTTAGCTACTTGGAGTGATTTAAGGAGGTTTAAGAGTGATTTAATCTAGATTGAACAAGAGCTATAATTTTTAAAATTTACATAATTACTTTACTTATTGTGAACTAGAATAAACTTCCAAGTAGTGGAGGTTTATTTTAGCTTACAAGTTATAAGACCTAGGATGAACTTTAAGTGATAAAGAAAAAATAAGGGACCTTCTAGGCATTGAAAAATACCACCCAAACTTAAATTAAAGAATTATTAGTAAACAACACCATACTACGAGAGATGCAAGTAGCATCCAAATTTGCAATCAATGAACTACATATGTAGTTTAAAAGTATGACACATAGAATGAACATTGCAGGTAGAGAAAATAAACCTATACAAGTAAAGCAAGCTCAAGACAAATTTATTTCATTTCTGGCCAATCTAGCATTAACAAAAAAAACATCTTGTATTTGATACACCCTCAATGATTCAGATAGCTCCACATCTTGAACAAACTCACAAAGGTGTAAATTTGCTTTGTGTATCTTCTAAAAGAATGGTCAATTTCAAAGACCAATTACAAGTCTTGGATACTACATATGACCATAATTTTGACATATTCGAAGCTTACGGCTTTCAATCAATGTTACTAATGTGATACAAGCAACAACTTATGGCTTTGGCCATTGAACACAAGCTCAACAATAAAGACACACATAATAGCAACTCAGATAGTGAAACCAAAGATGTGTTGGAAGCAATATGCATAATCTTAAAATATTTTACAAAACATCTGTACTTTTAGGAATGATATGTCATATACACCAACTTAGTAGATTATTTATTTTGTAAAAATAAACAACTAAATTAATTTCTAATATCTATCTATATGCATTGAAAATCCACAACAAACATCATTGTATATATAAGAGATTTGTTGTGGCAATATAAAAATTATAATATAGATAGAAACCACTTTGCAGTATTCAACTCTATTCTTGCAAAATTATGCCAAAGATTTTTTTGTATTACAAATATCCTAAGGACATAATGTAAGATACCTTGGGAAGTGAAATATTATCTATATAAGATAACCACATCTACCCGTAAAGGTGTTACTTGTCAAAAGAGCTTATATTTGCCCGTGGATAATACCAATCAAAGTACCTTGACAACACAATATCAAAAGAATAATAAAGAAGGAGATAAGATATTATTACAAGGCCACAAAATTAATAAAGATATAGTAAAATAAAAAGGCATTTGAAGTACTTGCTGATAATCCCGAAAGCTCAAAAAAAAAATGCATAAGTTCTATATAGATTATAGCATCTTAAAAATAGTTAAGAAGATAAGACTAAGATCTTATAACCTTTCTAGGACATCCTGTATATCACTTGTGAGCCTTTGTGAAATTGAAATCTTTGACCATCTGATTAAATTCCTCTTCAAATAAATTCCAATTGTATAATTTTTTTTATTTTTTATTTTTATCTTTAGATTATCATAATTTTTTAATAGAATTATTATTATTTTATTAGAAATAAAAAAGAAATACTCATTAAAATATCTATTTTTTTAATTCTTATCAATTTATCAAGTAAAAATCTATTGAAAAAACTATATTTAGTTTTCAAAGTGTATATATTTTTTCTTATTTTTTCATTTCTTTTTTTTCTTTTTTTCTTTTTTTATTTTTTTCTTTTTTTCTTTTTTTATTTTTTTCTTTTTTTCTTTTTTATTAATTGATTGTGATTTTTAATTTTATATTTGATATATTTACCAGGAAGTAGTGCTTTTAATTTTGTATATAGATATGAATTTTATTTTTTTCTTAATCTTCTATCTTTGATCTTTAGTATGAGTGAAAATTCAAGTGTTTTTTAATAATCGTAACTCTTCCTTTTATTTCTTGTTTAATATAATTTTATTTATTTTTTATTTATCTTTTTTTATATATTTAATTTTGATTTTTTTGTATGCTCTGAAAAATTCTATCTTTTATTCTATCAAAAATGTTTTGGTTAATATATTGTTTGAATGTATTCATAATATTAATTTGGTGTAATTCTTTTATAATGAATATTTTTTCAAATGAACCTATTTGATGTTTGTATTTGATTTCAAACACAGCATATTTGATAAGGATCCTTTATTTAGCTTCCAACTCCAATATAGGACTTTGGGTCTTTATACCAAACATTTATATTTGGACTTTATGGCTTCAAGAAAATGGCATGGTTTTTCAAGACACATCATAGTCACAAGGCATATAAATTATGGTGAGTGGGAATCCAAAGGAAAACATTGAATGTCCCTCACAAGGAATGGCTGTTAGTTGATAATATTGGATTGGCTAATATATACTCTTTCCCAGAGTACGTCCTGAACTCCTCACCTCCGAATACTGATCTAGTCCAACTGTATGCTAGCCATCAGAATTCACTTAGTCGCTTCTATTTTGAAACACAGACCCAGCTGTGATAGCCTGTATCTCATTACTTCAATAAAAAATGAGACAAACCTCTTATGTTTCAAATAAAGAAAAAAGAAGAGAGGAAAACAAACTGCCTCTATTTGCGGCTATTTGTAGTGTGATCATGAAAGTGTGCAACACAGTGTTTCTATAAAACCTCCATCCAGTTGCAAGACTGCGAGGGGATGATGACTATGGAGACCACCCAGATGTTAATATTCGGTGGTGAACTTCTGGGTTCCATTCCATCAGACATGTGCTGGATGTGAGTCTTAATATCACCCACTGTCAAGACTAGTTACAACGCCTGAACAGGATTCATCGTTGGTTTCGGTGGACTCATGTGGCTTCAGAAAATTGCTGCAACTACCAAATTGAGAGAACACATACAACAGAAAAGTCTTCAAGACGTTACAGTCAACATATGGGAATTCCAGTCCGTGGGTGGTGGTGGGCGGTGCCTAGACATGGCGAATCCTACGTAACAACTGCGACCTAGTACTGGTCTGCAGGGAGGCTTCAATCCATGGATGAAATTGGATATTATACTTGTCTTAATGCTCTGAACAGAAGCTCGATTCTTCCCTGCTGAAATGCTGCAAAGCTGGGTGTGCACTAGAGACCTGATCCAATTTATTCATACCAAAATTTACATGGTCAAGCCGTACCCTTCCACATTCAAAATCTCTCAACTCTTTCCCATATTTCTTCAATTTCTACAAATTCGTGCACAAATAGTCCCTCTCATATTGCTTTACAAAAACACTCTCGATGCCCTCTGCACAATGTAATAAACACGAAGTGGTTGGGTACTTCGAATTTTGAATGGAATTTTTCAATTTTTTTTTTTTTTTTTGAAATTGTGGGGCACTATCTAACGCTTTCAAAAGGGATGGGATAGTGACAAATGCGATCTACTAAACTGCCCTGTAAGATCCAGGGTTGATCTATCTGGCCTAACATCTACGCTGGAGGTGGCGAGTCCGAGAGACAAAGGCTCATAGGACACCTCTGAACCAATTGCACCGTGAGTTGTCTTATGAAGCTCAGAGATGAATGTCGAACCCGTCTTCAGATATTCACCCTCACTCATGGCCATCAACAAATCGTGTGCCAGATCCTCGGCAGATTGGCATTGCCCAGCAACGTCAGTATCACCTGCTAAAAGTAGATCAGATGGAGATTGCCTACTCCCAAGTTCCTCGTTTCCCAACACCTGCGAATTCAAGAGACTAATTAATATCTCAGACTTTGCAGGTGGGTTGCTACTCTGATTCTTTTCAGCTAGACCCATATTAATTTTAGGGAACAAGAATGAAACGAACCCAAACAATATAATCAGCTTGTAAATCTGGTAGTTCATGTGAAGGACTTGATTCTATAAAAGTTGAAAATGCAATCACAATTTGAATGCATATATTCTACACTAGACGGGGAAAACGTACCCCAAATTCTCCTGACTTCGCGACCTCCAAAAGCTTCAAAATCTTAAAAAGATTTGGGTATACTTCTTCGGAGAGTTCAGGTGTCGGGTCAGCTGCACTGGTCAGTTCGTGTTGCTTGTCTGGTGAGGACAAAGATGCACAACTGATAGTATGATTGACACGTCCAAATGAGTCCAATGTGGACGCTGCTATGAAATTATGCCCTGCGGAGTTCTGCTTTGAAAGGGCAGTACGACTCTTTATAATTTTCATGAAATTGATGAGCTGGCCAGCTTCCTTCATCCATGAACCTTGCACTCTAGGCTCCAAATTCCAAACCCTAGGATCGGGATCAGAGGTTGAATCATAATGCACGCCGCCTCGTCGGAGACCTGATTCAAAGAGCAAGTATTAAAAGCACCGAAGGGAAATGAGAAGTCATTTACTCTCTGCCAGACTCATGTGTTCAATTGGTTATCAGGATATATCGAGTGTCCCTTATTATACACTGAAGACGTGCCATGTCAAAGCAGTGATTCATTACAGTAAGACGCAAAAATATCACCAATCAGGGGTCATGGTCCAAAAACTAAAGAAAAATTCAGCACTACACTTACCAGATGAAGAGTCGTACTTCATTCCACATTTTGAACATCGATACATCTGCATACCAATCGAAGAGCAACAATCCATTGTCAAAAGTTGTATGATCCCAGCTATGACAGTACTTATTCATTTGTTCTTCCCAGATGCTTCAAAGTTCTCAGGACGAACCGATAAAGACAATGCAAATCTTTGTCTAACACCCAACTACAAAAAGAAATAAATTCCCTACACATTAGAAGTGCCAATGGTCTAGCGATTTGGAACAATGTATCACCTGAAGGTGGCTCTTCACTTGCGCAAGTTTCAGGCCTGATATATTCATTTCCCGCAAAATAGCTTTAGGAGTGGCTTCTGCAAAATAACCAGCACAAAATTGGTCAGTACTTCTGATCACTCTACGAAGTGATCAGCTCTACGAGTGATCAGACAGTGTGGCATGTTTCAATATCCAAACAACAAGTCAAAATAAGACTAGCGCTAAAGGTGTTTTCATCGAAAAAGAAAAAAATCAACAACTAATTCATCAATAAAATCTGCGAAATGCTTAATGATAAACTACGAGTCGACATGATAATTCTATACTAATTCTGCAGAGTTAGTACAGAGCACAAAGAGGAACTGAACTGAGAATGTTCTCACTTTGAGGGCCACCAAGCTGCTCAATTGCCCAGACGAAGCAGCGATGAAGATCTTCAGACCACTTCAGACGAGGTGCTCCTGATTGGATGTAGCGTCGAGTCCTTCCGTCTGCACTTCGCCGTGAGCCTTGTGGCCGAGAGGCGGTTTCACAGTTGGCAGTGTTCTGGATGATGTTGTTGCTCACATTTGATCCTCCAGGCATGCCGTCTGCGGATGAGGTTTTTCTTCTACTTGGTGATCCACACTCCCAGAATCCGCCGTCATATGGTTCGTAAAAGGAAGACATGATTCGTAGAAGTAGGACACTGGTCCTTCAAACGGAAGGGGTTTAGCCAGGGTTTATGAGGCGTTTTAGGAGGGTGTCGAGAATAATCGACAAACTGACCTTGAGATGCTACAATCTTGTTGCTCCTTTATGTGACTTGTGACATGCATAACAGAAGTTGATCTTCATGAGGCTCCAAGCTTCCCAAGATAAAATGCAGTGGATATGCACAAAGACTGCCGATGGTTGAAATTTTCGGCGACTTCATTCGCGTCCTCCCAAATCTGATCATCTAGATTAAAACCAAATCGATCAACCTTCCGAATAGCAAGCGATGGGATGAAACTACGAAAACGCAAGAACTGCTCAGACATCCCATTTGGAGAATAAATTGCGCCACTGTCATGAAACTAGGATATGTGGCTTGTCAAACACTCTAGTTTTGTCGGTGGACTCTAGACCGACTCTAGATTGACCAATTAAACTCCACCTAAACCATAACATATTATCTCGAATAAAAGCAAACGTAAAACGAAAAAATTAAACTTTTGATTTGACATATAGAAAATTATCTATGAAACTGTGATCACATCATAGATTTATAGTAAGTTTCAAAATTTTCATCTCCAAAAATAGGAACTCCAGATGAAAAATTTAAAGAAAAATAGTCTATGGCTCAGTGATCTTCGACGTGTCGACCAGGATCCACGGCCTCTATGGAATGACTTCGTCTACACGACAACTGTTTTCAAAACTTGTTTCTCAAGCTTCTCGAAGGACCCCGACAAAAAAGTTCAATCATGTCCATTCGGGAAGCAATTTAGTCCTTTTCCTCTGCAAATTACGAGAGCTGTAAGTTATTCCTGTCAGCGAGTATGGATCCAAGAATTGAGGTTTTTACAAGGAGACAAGCACTTGAGCACCAAGCAAACTTCGTCTGGTACGATGTGGTAACCGACATGGAGGGAATGATCTCTTGCACGGATTACCCTCTACCTGATCTAATTCCCCGCTAATTCCAGCTTAAGAATCATAGTCCAAGCTGTAGACACTAGACAGTAGTGCAGACACCAGACAGCAGATGATGCCAAGCCCAACTGGCTTAAGTAAGACATGTCTGCCAAATCTTTCCCGCACAATAAATCAATGCAGACAACGAATAAAAAGTGTGAGGTAGCACTTGACAGTGTCGCTAGTCCACGGAAACATGATCGAACCTTGGGTCTATGTATGTTTGATTAATAGGGAGACAGATTCCGTAAATTTTTGTGTGACAGGTCCCGTTTCAAGCACAATCTATCAGCGGTGTGGCTCTCTGCTATCAATACTGGTAAAGGACATCACAGTAATGAAGATTAGGAAGAACAGGACAAGCGCCATTCCATAGTCACTAAACAGATGACTCATGATTTATCGATGAAGTTCGTAGCAGGTACAATTTCTAAGGTACCATGATCATTCCAGGTTCCAACCTGACTCTTTCAACACTGCTGTGACTTGCGCGAAACTCTGATGTTGACGGTGGCTAAAACAGATTTCAGATACCCTGAGGTGCGTAAATGAATCGAAATAGATAAAACAAAACATGTATCAGCATATCGCTGCATACAGAGATAATCGAAGAAGTGCCTAGACCAGGAGTACTTGCTCACAACACACTCGTCACAGTAACCAGGATGCTTTGAGAAGTCCGAGTCACTACTAGTGGATAAATTCCGACCGAGTTTTCAATTTCGTTGGCGTGACACAGCAAAGTAGGCACAACAGTCATTAAAAAATAATCTCGCATTGTTCTTAATCATATCATGTCTCAAACGTCTGAGGCGAATCTCTACGGCACCTGATATCAGAGTTCGAAATTTCCATTAGGGGTTGACGACACAGTAGCACCGAGAAAGAAGAAGAAAATGTGTAGCACACAAATATCCACTTTTATCAATTCCTATCAACAAACACTATTCCCCCTAAACTATCAGTTCCCACAATTCCAAGTTCGAGTGTCAAAATCTATAGGTACTGTAGTTATGTCGTACCAATAATTGAACACAACTGCAAGTCGGGCAACAAGAACCAGCTTCACCTTCTAGCATTGTAGATCACAACTAAAGGCACCCTGAAATCCCACCTGGAAGCACCATTCTGAGCCTGATTCTCTAGAACATGTGCCCATCATAACATGGACTACTGCTGCATCAGCTGAATGGGTTCCTTGCTGCGTTCTGAAATCGAACATCAGCAGCACAAGAAGCGGAATTAGAGGGACGTAAGTAAGTAAGTAAGGATCACTTGTAGCCAGTGAGCAGAGCAGATCAGAGCTGGGTAGAGCTGGATAGAGCTGAGACGGGAGAGCATCATCGCTGCTGCTGCTGCTGCATCGTCGTGGTCGGTGACCATTCCTGGCTGGCTACCGACTCCCCTCCATTGGTCGGCGACTATGATTCTGAGGTGCCAACCCCTTCTTCGACTGAGTCCGCGCGATGACAGATGGATGACCTATTTCCACAGTCATTCATTCATTCATTCATTTAGTGGCTTCCGTTGTCTGTTTCTCGTCAAGAGTCTCGGATGATGAGGATGAACAGTGGTGGTGGTGCAGCTTCATCCGTCGTGAGGCCCATGAACGAGTCTTTTCCATTTCACTTGACATGTGAGGTTATTTACATGTGGCCATTGGGTTTGCTGAGTGGCGATTTTCAAAAATAAAATAAAGTAAAATAATTTATTTCTCTGATGTTAATGCATTAAATATATATATATATATATATATATACTTTTTAACTCTACATTCATTTTACTTTATATATGCATATATATATATATATATATATATATACATATTTCTATTCAGATCAATATATATTTATAATAATACATGGGTTCACATGTTGATCTTAAATGTATTCATAATCACAAAAAAATATAATTTAGAAAATTTTGTTCTTTAGTTAAAGTAAATCAAATTTTAGTTAATTCATATTATATGGCTTTATTTGCACACAAGTACCAATTTATCTACTAAAAATATATTTATATTTTTAATCATTAGAAAAAATTGATGAATTGATAAATAAAACAAAATTATTTTTTCAACACAATAAAAATAAACATGAAAATATATATTATATTATAATTAGTTATTTTAAATCTAAATTTTTTTCATATTGTACTAAAGACACATATGAATCTAGAAAAAAAAAATCAAGAATATTATATTTAGCATGTTTAGAAGAATCCAAAGATTTCATCTACATCTAAGCAATTTTTTAGATATTTCTTTAGAAAAATATTATTTACGGAACATATTACTCTACTTCTATTTATTGAAGTAACATAAACATTTATTACATGTTTTGCTATAAGTATTTCAAAATACATATATGCAACAATATAATTAATATTTAAAATTATAATTTTTTTATCTTACACACTAAATAATAGAACAAACCAACAATCAAACAATTCTATATAAGACTATTAATTTATATTATAATCAATTAATATTATTTTATATTTGAAAAATTATACATAATAAATTATACTTTTATCCTATGTTTAATAAAAAAAATAGATGAAAAAAAATTTTATTTTAAAATCCATCAATTTATTTTTCAAAAATCTATAAAAATAATAAATTATATTATTATTGATATAAATTTTTGTAATAATAATTTGATAGTTATTTTTATTTATTTAATTAAAAAAAGATATATCTTGTATTTGACATTCCTCTTTACAAATCAAGGCACTTAATACTCTTTTGTGAATAAGACTATTTCAATAAATTCACAAGTATTTAAAATTCCTTGATATTAAAACACTAAAAATAGTCACACCACCTTTAAATTTTATCAAATATTTCTGGTTATTGATAGAAGTGAAAACTAAAATAATCAAATTTTACAAAATCCTTTTTAGGATTAATGAATTTTATTATTTTTTTCTTTTGATCATTTTTTTAAAATATAAAATAGAAAATGTATTAGTTGCAATTATTTGCTTTTGCAACTATAATTATTTTCTTTTGGATCCTTTCAAAAATCCTCATATTTTGCAAAATCTTTATATTTTATCTATAATTTAAGTAGAATAGTTTCTTTGATGATGGTCTTTCATTTTACCATTGTAGTTGGAGGAATTAATGTCATGTCTATTGATACTTCTTACAATAAGTCTTATAAACTTTAATTACAGCATTTGACTATTATTGGAATAAAAGTTTGTTGCAACAAGAATAATTCTATTTTATTCTTTAAAAGAGAATAAGCCTGAGAGATGCTAATTGTTTGTATGAGAAGTTATATCTCCCATTCTATAATAATATAACTACTATTCATGATTTCCAAAGATCTCAATTATTTATGTTTCTTTGAGTTTAATCAAAGCAATAGCATATAGAATTATATTTTAGGTCTTAAATAAAAATTTGGATTTCTTTATGTCTTGAGCAATCCTCATATTGTTCATAGTCTATGGTCCTAACTTGCTATAAGTTAGCACCTATAGTTTCCTATACACAAAGTCCAAAAAAAACATTATAAAAATCAAACGTCAATAATGATGAATGTTAGTTTGAACTAGGAGTCAGAATCTCCTTGACTCTGGACAAGTATAAAAAAGACAGATAATCCTTTTCAAAAATATATCTTTCTTCCTTAATTTATAAATTATAATTACAAATTTAGAGATAGATTGGTTTAAAAGCTAGCCAATCTTGAGCATGGCCTTAAATAGGTATAAATAGTATTATAAGCAACAAACTAAAAAAATCTATCACATATTTATAAGAGTCTATAAAATAGAGTCTTGATATTAAAAAAGAGCCTATATTATGATGGAATGTGGTGGAATTGGTATTTATCTTTTCTACCTTGATTCTTAATAATTTCTTATAACAATCTAATTTTATCATAAAAACTACCAGTCAAGAAGATATGAAAGGTGCTTCAAGATCTATTACTTAGATGTAAGTAACCTACACAGTTGTCTAAATTTTTCAATCATCAAGAAATTAAAATGCAAGTAATGGTAGTAACATTGAAGAAAAAAAACTTTAAAGTCAAAATACTTAGCATCAACAAGATTGTACATAAAGAGAGTGTGAAATAAAATATCTCTCACTTCCAACATCTATTACTTATAGATGGTGGTTACTACCCTAAAAGATAATTTTTATTCTTTGCCTTTTATATATATGGTCTTAGAATCTTTTGGCATCTAACTTACTACAAAGGTATCCTATGGTCTTAGGATCCTTTGGCATATTATTAACTAAAAAGATATTCTATGTCAAATATTAATTATTCTTACTTAATCCTTAGATATTTTCTAATTAATACTTTATCCTCTTGACTTAGATTCTTTATTCTTGACCTCATTCTATATCTATAGGATGTCTTTTTTTATTTTTGACTTATGTCAAAAATTAATCTTTAATTAATTAAAATTTTATTTAAATAAATATTATTTATCAAGTAATTTATTCTATTTTTATTTTTATTGACTTATTTTAATACTTTTACTTTATTATTGGTCAAAGGCTTTTA